AAAAAAATGGGCCTCGTTACCCTAATTACATCTAACCAGCTGGCTACAGGCACCATGAAGATTTGGAAGTAGGAAACTAGGTTGATGATCTGTGATGGTAGCATCAATTTACTGTAACCCTCATCTAAAACTATCCCTCTAAGCCCCGCTCTTCTGTGCAATTATGGTACCTTCTAATTAAGAATATTGGCAGAAAACCTTTTAATATTTTATAAGAAACATAGCTGTTGCATATGGGGCTTGTCAGGGAACCAGTAATTATTTACTGTTTTGAAGATGCTACCCAGCAATAGCCAGGAGCAAGTTCAAGACTCAGGAAGCTCTTTCCCTGGAGCACTAGCTAGGCAGAAGAGCATCAGGTCATCAGGAGAAAAGAATTAGGAGAAGATTATATAGACAGCCTTCCCCTCCCTGCCCCCCCACCATGGGTTTTTAAGATAGACCCTCAGACTTTATACTTTTGGAATGCAGGAATGCCTTATCTATGTTTTCATACCTCCTTCACATACCTAGATTGTAAAGCATGAAAATGCAATATTTCCTGAGTTAACTTGCCACATAGGTCAGTCCTACCTGGGGTAGTTTATGATGAAATGGCTCTTAAGTGGATAGAACTCTAAATAGACTGTAGGATTATTTTTGTTCAACAGATTTTTTTTTAATGCTATGAGCTCAGCTGTGTTAGAAAAGATGCAAAATGAACAGGAAATGCAAGTCATCTCTCCTAGCTTTGCCTGAGATCCATGCTGGAAAGTCAAATGGCTAAAACACCTTGGGTACCGGAGTATATCAGTGTTCAATCATTGTGGGTATGATTCACAAATGCTTGCAAAGCTAAACTAGTTCTAATGCAGTCAGCACTAGGTTGACATATGTAAGTAACCAATAATCACTGAATAACAGATTAACTAATACAAATTAGAACAACGTTGCTGCTATCTACAAAAGAGAGAAACAAACTCACACACGTGTGCGCATGTGCACACACATACACACACACACATGCACGCACACATGCACACACTCCACATACAATGATGTTAGGTGCTGAGTTATAGCTTCCCAATTCATTAATCTCCAGGACCTCAGAATGTGACTTTACTTGAAAATAGGATCTTTAAAAAGAAAATTTAGTGACATAGAGCATGAGAGTGAGTCCTAACTCTATAATAGAGTTCTTAAAGGAGAGGACATTTGGATATAATTACAGGGGACTATGCTGTGAAGCATGGGAGAGGATGGTTGTCTTGAAGGCAAGGAGAGGGGTCTCAGAAGCATGCAGTCCTGCTGATGTTCACATCTCAGATCACCAGTCTCCAGGATTGTGAGAACATTAATCTCAGATGGTTAAGCCACCTAGTATGTGGTTCTTTGTTAAGATGGTTTTATCAGACTCATCACATGAGTCCTGTAAGAGATGACTGTGAGATCTAAAAGAGCATTCATAGTATCAGAATTATGAAATCAGCTTGAAAACAAACATATCCTTTCATTATTTAAAACAATGCCTTTTCTCGATGTCTTTGAATTGAGAGGGATTTATTTTTCCTTTGAAAATATGATTGATGAAGAAAGCTTCTTTTACAAAAGCTGTTTAGAAAAGTTGGAAACAATGCTCTGTCTCTCACAGAGAATTCAGCTCAGCCTACAAATAATATCTGTGGCAGGCAGATATTTGCAAATTTCCTTAGAGGCTTGAGAGTCTGAAAGGAGGAACTCTTCTTGCTCATCTCTTCTTTGCTTTCCTTTTACCCAGAACAATTTCAAGAGCATCTTTGAAGGAGAGAGCACGTTACACAGGCCAGTAGCTTGAGGAGGAAGGCCAGAGGGGTGTCATAGGTTTGGACCAAAAGCCTGTTCTCTCTCACTCTGTGCTGAGTGAATCAAGGCAACAGGCAACAGGAAATAAAGCAAGTATTCATCTGAGTTTGATGAAGACAGACTCCAAAAAGAGTCCAAGCAGCACTGAGGTGCACACACTATTCCACAATAAAATAAAGACAAACAAGTAATGAAAGTTAAGACAGAGGGACAAGCAGAGGCGCAGGGTGTGTGGGTGAGCTTTCTGTTGCTATGATGAAATGCCTGAGGAAGAGGATTTAAAAGGAGGAGCAGTTTGTTTCTGTTCATGGCCTAAGAGGTTTCAGACCAAAGTCACTTCCTCTCCATTGCCTTGTGTTTGTGATGAGGCAGAATGTGAGGACAGGGAACATATGGTCAGACAAAGCTGTCCACTTCCCTGCAACCAGGAAGTAGAGAGAACAAAATGGAGATTGGTCCCAGTATCCCCTACCAGGGCACATTTCCTATGATCTCCCTTGCTTCCTTTTGGTCCCAGCTGTTAAAGGTTCTTCAACCTCCCAGTAGCACTACAGACTGGCGACCAAGCCTTCCTTGGCATTTGGCCAACACTGAAGAACTAAGCCATAAACACCAGGAAAGATAGATCCAAGAGTTAGAGAGCAAGCAAAAAGGATGCCAGAAAGCTTCATGCTTTTGCTTATGGTAGGCCACAGATTTTGTTAGCACCAGGGAGCTTCTGTTGTCTGGTAACTTGGAATACAATTCGTTTGTGACCTCTGGCATAAACATTCATGACATTGAAGGCAGAGAGAAATTGTACTGGTGATATCCTCAGATTAGATTGTTTCTTGTTTTCTTTTCTCTTCAGTACGATTCATGATATAATGAAAAATTAATTTTACCCAAATGATTTTATGGAGATGAGGGAGGAGGGGTACAAGTAAAATCAACCTTCATCATATAAAATCAAAGGGAGTATATACACATAGGACAGTTCATTATTTAGTTTCTTAATATTGAGTATTAAATTCACTCAGAAGTTGTAGGATGGGTACTTGTTCCATGATTAATGGCATCACAGAAGTTTGACACTGTCTGAACTTCAGTAACTAAGTCTCCTCCCCTTTTTCTTCCCCAGATGAAGACACTGAAGTTGAGTAATTTCAAGGTCACACACTGATTGGTGGTTGAGCCAAGGACTAGAATACATATTTCTTGCATTTAGACATCAAAGGATTCTTGAAAGTCTGTTTGAACTCAGGCTTTCAGAGGTCATTGTAACTATGCTAGTTGTAAAAATGCTTTCTTTTAGGCATACATCTGTGTACCAACAGCTAAATGTATCATGGAGCTGTTTTTCCTGGGAATAGGGCATTGCACTATTATTTTATTTTACCTATGGGTACTCCAGAGATCATTGTTTTTCTAACAATCTTACTGTTCTATGGGTAGCATTCTTTAAAAGGGTCTTGTATGAACGTCTGTTCTTCACAAGACCTAGAAAAAGCAATGGAATATCCTTTTTTATTCTTATTACTGAGAGTTCTTTTTAAAAAATCTTATCTGTAAGTACTTGTACGAGGGGTTTCGATTCAACACATCAATTTATGAGTACAATGCATCCTGATGATGAAACATTATTTGAATGGTCCATTTCTTTAAGAAAGAATTATTTCCAAGTTGATCTTCCTTTTGCAGAACTCATAGTGATTTATCTGTTTTTGTTTTTGTTTTTTTTTTAAATGGAGTGAGATGCCAGAGGATGAGATTTTACTCCTTTTAGAAAAACAAAATCACTTTGGAGTTTAAAAATGGAATTCGGCAAAGAAAAGGAAATAGCAAATGATCTCAGATCAAGTATCTTTTTCATTTAGAATATTTTCTAGATGTACATTTGGAAAAGAGATTCAGGCAGTGTGTTCCTTATATAATTTGAGTGGAAACCAAATTCTAGCACTTATTGAATAGCCCTAAGGTGATCTTCTTTTTCTTCCCAGTTGAAACCTACTCTGAATTAGTTTTTCTGTTGGTGTTTTCCATCTCCAAAGCTGTAGGTTAAAACTGGGGGAGGGCAGCCTGCTTCCTTTAGCTTGTTTTTCAGTTCTAAAGTCTGTTTCCAAAGGAGAAGTCACAGGTATTCCTAAGGATATCAAGGCAATTGTTGTCCAGCCAATAGAAACACCACCTTCATGCTCCCCAGGGATGACCTGGGACATGATGAACACACATGGAGGACCAAGAACACTGTGGGAAGTTGGGTTACCAACTTCCATTTTTACTACCCACCTTCACCCCAATATCCACCCCATTTCGTATCCATGCCCATCCAAGAAGAGCATCCTTGAGGGGCCATTGTAAAGTAGCAGCATCTAAGTCTTTGGAGCAGTCCTTTACACTAAAACCCCAGTGGTTTTGAGCTTTGAAGCCATTTATTAAAGTCCTGATTTTAGTGTTCTTAACGGATAATTATCCATACATACGTTGATTTTTTTATGAAAAGGAAATTTGGAGTTATTCCTGTTTTTCTTATATTTTTCAAATTGTCTATGACTTGAATGGTGAAAGTATATCATCTCATGGAGTAATTTTACATTGGTTTCAAATTCCTGGACTTAATTTATATTATTTAAAAGCATGTATTCAGCCACTTAAAATTTTGTTGAGGACCTAGTATGTACCAGACTCTGTACGTTAAAAAAAAATAAAAAGCGATTTTGTTACTTGTAAGACTCCATTTAAAATATTATTTACAGGAAACTTGATAAATAGTTACAATGTTCATCAAAATGACTTTATATAAGGATTATAATTATGTAAAAATGCGTTTGGTTGAGTATAAAGCAAAAGCAAACTATGGCTCTTTTGTATTGCATTTGAAAGATTATAGAAGCTGCTGCTGCCCCTTACCAATAGTTGGAATTTTTATTAATTGTTTTTAAGAATAAAACAAAATCCAAACATGCATCACTACTCAAACAAACTTCTTCAAGTAGGCAGAATTTTTCTTGTCCATCTTTTCTCTTTTCTTGTGTCAGTGTTTGCCGAATGAATTCATTCAAGTAAAAGAATTATAAAGTTTATGAATCTGGAGTGATCGCTTCACTGGTTGATCCGATTTTCACAAAGGCATGCCTGGCTTTGCCTTGTCGCAGGCCAAACCATAACTGATCATTCTGTTCTCTTTGTATTATTTATAGGGATATTTTGCACCATTTCTCTCTGCACGTATGCTGCCAGTATCTCTTACGATTTGAACCGACTCCCGAAGCTGATTTACAGCCTGCCTGATGATGTGGAACATGGCTACAGCTGGTCTATCTTCTGTGCCTGGTGCAGTTTAGGTTTTATTGTGGCAGCTGGAGGTCTCTGCATTGCTTATCCATTTATTAGCCGGACCAAGATTGCACATCTAAAGTCTGGCAGGGACTCTACAGTATGACTGCACTCCAGGTACCTGCCCACAGTTTGAGTGACTCTGCAGGCGAGAGGAATGGAGTTTACATCAGGATCCCAAGCACAACGCAGTCTCTTACATTCCAGCCTGTTGTATGCAGCCCTTTTCTGGATGACTGACAGCAAATCATGCAAAACCACACAACCTTTCGAAGGACAAACCGATGGTGGATTCAAAGTGCTTTAATGACTGTTTCTGCTTTGACTGTGAGACAAAGAAGGAGCTGTGGCATGGGGCATTTCTAAGGGTCAGAAAAGAGAAACTGCAATGGAAAAAAAATTTGTATAATTTCCATTTATTTCCGAGAGTTTGTATATAACAATTACCTGAGAGTCATTTCTATATGCAAAAAAAAAAAGATTCGTAATCAACGCAATTATAATTTTCTTGTCACTGTACTAGGCTTGTTAAGTTTTGACCCACAGCTTTAGAACTTGTCCTACTGGTGTCTTGTGGTGTCAGAGCCCGGTATTTGTGTATTATTTGTGGATGTTCCTTGTTACAGGAGGGTTCTTCTTTGCCTTATTATTATTATTTTAATTGGAAGTCTGCTCTCTGTCTTTGTACTGGAGTCAAAAGCATAAGAGAAACAGATCAACCATGTAAGAGCTAATCCGTGACACTATGCAGTATTGTTTGAAGTCCTTTCTGTTGTTCAGCTTCTGTCTATGTTAACTGGATTTCTGCATTAAATGACTTCTCCCTTGTTAATCTAGGTGTGCTTTCCTGTCTGTCTTTGAACTGTGTCAACAAGTCTCCATAGTCATAGGACACGAGAGAATTATGATGTTTCAATAAGACTCTTTAAGCCTGATTGCTTATTTTAATTGAGTTGGTCTTTCTTATTTATCTTCTGCAGCAATCACATGCTTGCTATTGACAAAAGGTGTCATTGCAAACTTTTTAAACTTCCTTTTACCAGCTGCCTGGTATTTACCTGGTGATAAGAGCCACATGGTCCCTGGCCTGCTTCTTGGACCTTCTAGGCCTGTGATTTTTCACCTGGGCTACACATCAGGCTCTTTAGTGGTTCCTAAACTGGGCTCTATAGCAGACCAGTTATCTCAAGGTCCATAGCTGAGCCTTGAATTGGAAAAAAAATCCAAACTCAAAATATCCCAGATAATTATGCTGCATAGCTGGAGTTGAGAGTCATTGTTTGGGGCTTGATTTGGACTTCCTTCTTACTAACTAGGCTAGCTAAGTGATTCAGCATGTATAGTACTGTGTACCAGGCCTAGGGCTGTGTTTATTTCTCCCAGATGTTATTTCACTTATTTCTCTCAAAGATCCAGTGTTTCATGGAGGCCACAGGATCAGACCTAGAATATCTGCTGCTGCTTCTTTTCCTCCTCAGTTCCTTTCCTAGGTATGGACACAGGACAAAAGTTAAGGCCCTCCTAGTGGGGCTGGCTCACATGGCAGACCACCTAACTAGCAAGTGCAAGACGCTGGGTTCAACCTTCAGTTCTTCAAAAACATGAAAAACAGGAAAGGACCTTCCATTGTGTTTCCTCATTTTTTTGATGGAAGGGTGGGCATTAGCTAACTTCTAAGCTTTTCCTTCTCCCTCCAACACATCATCTCCTCTCTATAGATGATGGATGTATAAGAAAGTTTTCTAGAAAACATAAAAGATGCCCTATCTCAAATAAGGTGCCCTTTCCGATTTTCATTTCACAAAAGGCCCTTTTGTTTCATCTTCATAAAAATTGATTTAGTATTCAGAAAAGAAAACAAAGTCTGATTTCCAAATGACAGGGGCCACCTGTGGTCCCAGGAGCTGTGTGAAAGAGGTGGCGAGACTGGTGGCCACACAAGTTGTCCCCTGGGGTTCCCACCGCAGCTGAGGTTCATGAGAATATCCCTGACTGTCTCTCAGGCCCCTTTGATAAACCAGTCTCTCTGGATGAGATCAGAGACATATAGAAAGGAGCAATTATTTCCATTTATTACTTATGTGGGAAATTCTCAGAGCTGGAGAGTTTTTTCTTTGAAGTCTTTTAAAAAGATCCCCATGGAAGATGTCAGGACTCTTGAACATTTATATTCCACCCACCAAAGCAATGTCTGCATGAGTAACTTTTGAAGTTTCCCAGAAGCTTCCTAGGGGGTTGAGGTAAGAATGGAAGAAAGCTTCGAGGTTGGCAGTAGGTGGAAGGGTTCATACACCACAAAGATATGCCCAGAAGCCAAGGGAGTTCACTTGGGATTCAAACGTGTTCCAGCAAGAGCTGAGCCTCCCTGCCTTCCGGCCCCAGTGAGCTCAGTGCATGGAGCCTTGTGACTGGCCAAGTTTTCTTACTTCCATTTCCTGTCCAGGAAGTATGAACGTATGTTGCCAATGTTGGTGCCACCTGTACCCCCTCCTCCATCCTGGGGTTCTCCCGGAGCCAGTGTTTCCTTAATTGGCTTGTGAATGAAGAGGGACCAAAAAAATGGTAGCACATTGTTGTGTAGGATGTAAAATCCACTGAAATCCTTCACCTGTTCCCCTTCTGTCTCTGTGTCCTACTTTTGGATGATTGCATGCAGCCTCATTATATGTTGTGGCTTTTCTCTCTTTCTTTTCTTTTTGTCTCTGGCGTTTTTGGTGGGGCAGCAAGCAGAGGTGCTTGAGCTCAATGAAGTGTGGATGCAGGGTGTGGTGTGTGAGGAATGTTTCAGGTGGGGAAAGGGGATGGAAGAGGGGAAGAGGGAGGCCAGAGAAAGTCGCTTTGCCAACTGAAATGGCCCAGGGGCATCCCAGACACTAGAAGCTAACTGCAGTGATGCAGTTAGCTGTACCCTCCCTGAAGGTATCTGGAAATAATTGGGTCCTTGGACCAATAGCTCTCACATCCCGAGAGCAGACTCAATAAGCTGGGAAGGACAAAGTCTTGGAACAGAAGCTTCTCAGCACTAACTGGTCTAGAAACATCGGCACAACAGTGCCGATTTCTTCTGGGCTCTCCAGGGTTCTGAATAGATTTACAGAACAAGCAGCATGCCTATCTGCCATGTATAGACATCACTAACCAGAAAAGACTGCCCAAAACCTTGATGAGCTAGCCACGGGCTCCACATGTCCTCTCCTTTTGTTTATGTGTGGAGTGGGACCAATGCTACCCATTATGAGGGAACCCTACCTTCTCTTTCTTTGGACGTGCATAGGTCCTTGAGCCAAGATTTCCAAGGATGGGTAAAACCTCAGTAGGACATGATATCTCCTATAAAGTTCATCAACTCTTTCAACAAGTATTTACTGAATACCTAATATGTGCTTAACTCTTATATGTACTTGGGAAACATCCGGGAAAGTGAAACAGAGCCTCTTGCCATGTTAAGCTGATGCTTCAGCAAAATGCAGTAAAATTCAAATAGAAAGTTTCCTTCCCTGACCCTACATGACTGCATGCACTCAGAACCAAAGCAGTTTAGTCAACTATTAAAGTGTTGCTTTTAGATTACCTTCTTGGTTTGTGTGTATCTGGCTTGCCACAGTTCTCTCCTCATTTCCATCTACATTAGCTTTTGGGAGGCAAGGGGTGTCTCCTGAAGATCTCCCATTCAAAACCATGGGGGATAGAGAGGAAGCTGGGATCCTGAAGACTCTGGTAAGTGGAGAGCCAGGAGCTAGGAGTTCTGGGATGTCCAGGCTGACAGGACACCGCCTCCAGCTTTACCTAGGTTGTTTCTTCTACTGGTGGCCGACATTTACTCCTTGGATTGGCTTTTTGGACTTTGCATTTTGCATTGTGTCACAAGCCTTCTGGATACATTCCTCCAACACTCTACACTGCTTTAACACCTTTCCTGACCACTTACACTCCATATGCTAATTACCTGCTCATCCATAAACAGATTCCTCCCTCTTTCTTCGTCCCCAGTCCTTTGCCCAGTACACAGTAGGTACTCTTAGATCCCTGTGGAATTCAGAGTCACAGATAAATTCCCCTTCTCTGGACATAACTGACTCCCTTAACACCCATTTTAGGGAAGCCATTAGAAATAGACAGTAGTATGATGAGGGTAAATGGAAAGTAGAATATAGCTTGGCAAGCAAGTAAGCCTCATTTAGAATAATTAAAGGGACTATTAACCCAAACTAACCCAGATACAACTTGAAATGTGTTATGAACTAAGTGCTATGGAACATTTATTTGATGGCTCAAATGTTATTAAGTATGTAACCTCAATATGGCTCTACACCTCAATTTAATCTTTCCCATTTATGTGTGGGTGTTTTAAATCTCTAATTGAGATTCTAAAAAAAAATGCTTCAGAAATGATTCCCTTGGAATGCAAATCGCTAGACTAACTGACCAAGAACTCTTTTAAATTGCATTTGAATTTCTCCAGGGCTCTGTCCTTTGACTGGAGAGAAAGAGGATATTCTCTGTGTTGCAAAACAACCATAAATGCTTGAAGATGCTCAGGGCATCCAGTTGCATCCTGGGACTACCCAATGTATTTCCTCCTGGTATGCAGCCTGTATTTTACAAACCTTCCAAGCAGGATTTTTTTAAACTGTTTTAAACCTCTATTAGGATATGTCTGCCTGGTGCCCCTACAAGAAGAAAACAAATTGGTTGGCTATACAGTAAGATACTTATCTGACTTTATTTCTTATTTTTTTTTTCTTCCCTTCAACATTCACTGTAAAATGGAGCCTGGTGTGTATTAGACCCTGGGCTATTCATTGATCTCTCTTAAGTTTCTAAGTAAATCTTTTGCAGAGAGGAACCAGAGAAGACAGTTGATCTGGAGTACAGCCAGCAAAGGGACAGTGGTACTGGCAAGGCTATTGAGATAGGCAGGGCCTTGCTGGCTGCCTTTGGAAAGCTGTGCTTTATTCTGGCAAGAGAAAGCAATGAAAGGGTTTAAAGAAGCCCACTGATAGGATCTGATTTTCACTTTAAGAATATCACTGTTGCTACTGGGTGGATAATAAATTAGAAGAACCAAAGGAGAAGCCAATTGAGAGAGAGGATGTGACAGAAATCCAATAGACAAGATAGTGCCCTAGACTTCAGAGGTGGTGATAAGGATGGGGAGGGTGGGAGAATTTGTTTTAGAAATGGCACTGACAAGACTTGATAGTAAATTGGATGGAAAGCAGAAAGAAAGGGGAGTTATCAAGGATGCTGTCTAAGGTGGTTTTAGAGCTAGGTTATTTACTAAGAAACTATGGTTCTTATACCAAAGACATATAAGATACTTTGGAAATACAAAAATTAAAACACACACACACATACACACACACACACACACACACACACACACACACACACACGCCCCAAACCAAAGCAAACTGTGTTTCATGATATACTCCTTGTCACATGGAATGGTATTTATTCTGAATTAAGTGGAGCCTGGGAGTGAAATTGTAGTTGAGAATATGATTCAATAGTCACAGGCTTCTTTCTCTCTGCTATCTGCCCCACCCTCCTTATTGAACTCAGTGGCACACACTTGCTAAGGAGGAATTCTATCACTTGAAGCACTAAGGCAACACTTAATGCTAGTTATTTTTGAGTTAGGGTCTCCATACTAGTCTGGACTATGATCCTCCTAGTTGTATTTTCTCATTTCATTGAGGATTTCAAATATGCACCTCTGTGCCTAGCCTTTGTATTGCTACTGTCTGCCTTACCACACACAGCCATTGAGATGGAGTACTTTTTTTTCTTTCCCCTCATTTTCTCCTCAAATGGTGATCCCTCAATCTC